GAGGTTGTGTGGGGTTACTGGTTGAGAGGGTTGCCAACCTCATACACTGGATGAGAGGAAGATCAGAGGTTGTGTGGGGTTACTGGTTGACAGGGTTGCCAACCTCATACACTGGATGAGAGGAAGATCAGAGGTTGTGTGGGGTTACTGGTTGACAGGGTTGCCAACCTCATACACTGGATGAGAGGAAGATCAGAGGTTGTGTGGGGTTACTGGTTGACAGGGTTGCCAACCTCATACACTGGATGAGAGGAAGATCAGAGGTTGTGTGGGGTTACTGGTTGAGAGGGTTGCCAACCTCATACACTGGATGAGAGGAAGATCAGAGGTTGTGTGGGGTTACTGGTTGACAGGGTTGCCAACCTCATACACTGGATGAGAGGAAGATCAGAGGTTGTGTGGGGTTACTGGTTGAGAGGGTTGCCAACCTCATACACTTCATCAGTCAGGGTTTCGTAAGTCTGAGTTTCTTCAACTTTAGAAGAGGCTTCTGAGGTAGCATAAGATGGAATTGTTAATAACATCAGTTGAAATCTTTGAGAATTTCTGGATATTGGCGTCCTGAAGCTCAAACATACGGAGACCTCCTCTCTCTATAACAAAAAATGCCTCAGCCATCATTTTCGTCTCAAACTTTTTAGAAGGAAGAGTTTCATCTTGTTCCTCTTGCTCTTCCCTTACGCCGTATCTCTTCAAGTTCCATCAAATCTTCCTTCGTCAGCTCCGTTGACTTCGGTGTTGCCTGACGTGTGTTGCGGTACAAAGGACCCCAATGGAAATAAGTCACTCTGACTTTTTTGGGTTATCCTAGGTTCTCTACACATATGCTGCTATGTATGATAATTCTATGTAACTGTATTTGTGTATACCTGAATAAACTTACTTATTAACGTCATACTACGCAGAAAGCGCGCAACTCAAAATTCGGATTTGCAGAAGTATTGCGAATGAAACTTTAACACGGCAGTCTGTTCGTAGTCCGAATGTTCGTAAGTAGGGTAGCGTCTGTACTGACTTGAAGCCATGGTTCTATTGGTAATCTGCTTTATGTATGTGTATGCAAGGCAAGATTATTACAATCAAGGGGTAAGCGCTGAACCCGTAGGATTATACAGCACCTGTGAGGAGGGGAATGTGGAAGGTATTCAGGCTTAATTCAGGGAACTGGAGCACAGATCCAATTCCCTAGATAAAGAGCCTCTCACCAGCGTCAAGGATCCTCCCTTGAGGGGATACAAGGCCAGTCTCAGCGAGATGTCTTGTGTGTAATGGTGGTGTGATTTTCGAAAACCTTTATGATAAAGATATATCAACGGCACCATTACTTTGCAAATGATTCCATGTACTCGCCTATTTGTGGTTGCAGGGGTCGATTCACTGCTCCTGGCCCTGCATCTTCGCTGGCCACTACTAGGTCCACTCTCTCCATGCTCCAGATATCTTATTTATTTATTTATTTATTTAAAAATTTGAGCACACTTACAGAGGTACAACAAATACAGGTAAGAGCAGTATGCCAAAGCCACTTATACTATGCATAGCATTACGGGCTGGCTTAAAATTAACTTAAGATTAACTAAGCAATGATGAAATCAGTGATAAAACATTAATGTAAACAGGTTACTATAAAGCACAAGTGAGTATTACAAAGACAGGTCATATGGTTGTATGCATTGTTGTACATTCAGTAGAATGGAGTATTCTGTTAGGTAGTGTATTTAAAAAATAATAAAGTTAGATTGGGTTTTAGGTTTAACATTTATGTGATATAATTGTGAGAAACATTTAAGATATACAATTTATAAGGTTCAGTTATTCAGTATTTATTTGGTTTTGGGTGAGTAAGTGATCTTTGAGAAGAGACTTGAATTTATAAACAGGTAGTGTTTCTTTTATATTTACAGGTAATGAATTCCAGATTTTAGGGCCTTTTATGTGCATTGAGTTTTTACATAGTGTGAGATGGACACGAGGAACATCAAAGAGTGATCTGTGCCTTGTGTTATGGTCATGTGTTCTGTTGAGGTTGGCAAGGAGATGTTCAGATGATCAGTGAACAGAGAATCAAGCCTTCATACCTTACACTCAATTACCCACACGGGTTTAGAGATTCACATTAAAAAAAATTGCACCATGTACTACTAGGTAAACAGGTAATAAAATATAATAATAATCATATGGAAGGAAAGTGCTAAGCCAGTATGGGTCAATCAGTGCAACTCAGTATTTATATTGACGGGGAAGCATTAAACCTGTAAGGGGTCATACAATGCTTGGGGAATCGAAGGTAATCAGGGTTGATACAAGGGGGAAACTTGCTCAAATTCCTTGGATCAAGAGTGTGGGAGAGTAGAAAGGGATCTTAGCTCCCTCTACAAGGGTCGTCGCCCCTCCCCCCTTAGTTGGAGAAAAATTTCTCCACAGTTACACCCTCATTAAGGCATCCCTTTTGACAGGAAAAGCTTGATGTGCAGTGGTACAGATTATTATCATTAATAGTGTCCAGGTGGCACCTCTACGATCAACGAGTCATTATTATTTCCTTGGCTTTACCAACACCTACATTTATCTCGCAACTTTCTGCACTCCAAACTTTTTTGCGGGAACCAACACACCACTGCCAAGTCTTACCACTCATCATAATGATGAATTATACTGGACAGACTATGGGAGTCAGGTCAAATGTACACCAATGGAAATAAGTCGCTTTGTCCGACTTTTTTGGGTTATCCTAGGTTCTCTACACATGTTGCTATGTATAATTATCTATGCAACTGTATTTGTGTATACCTGAATAAACTTACTCCTGTGCTTCGTCGAACACTGCCATACTTTCAACACTTCTCCCTAGTACTCTTCACTCCCATGTGCTCTGGCCTGATTTGACCCTATTATTATTGTTGTTGTAATTAATAATTATTGTAATATTCATAATTATTATTGTATTTAGGAGAAAGAGGTAAACTCGTATGGGTCACATAGCACTTGGGAAATGGGAATTAAAGTGTTTTGACCCAGGGAAGGATATGAACAAGTACATTATTATAATCAAAACCAGCGCTAAACCCACTTGGGTCATATAGCACTGCAGGAACAGGTAAATAGGTCACTAGCATCAAGGTGCCTACCTCCTTTGAGGGGTATTTATTTTAATCACGTGACACTGCTAAACCCATAGAGTCAAATAGCACCTGGGAAATGGGATTTATTATAGTATTTTAATCATGGGGGAGTGCTAAACCCATAGGATTATACAGCGCATGTGGGGGGAAAAGGAAGGTATTCAGATTCATTTTAGGGAACTGGAGCACAGATCCTATCCACTAGATCAAGAGCCCTCACCAGCATCAAGGAACCTCCCTTGAGGGGTGGGAAATGGGAGATAATTAGGTTTGAAGGGGAGGAGGAGCTCCAGTTCCATATATCAAGAGCCCTTTGCCAGCATCAAGGCACCCACCTAAAATGGAGTATTAATCCTTTTTTTTTTTTTTAGAAAATTGGGCAATAGGGACACAACTTATTCCATTATAGACCAATTGGTTTGCATAGCTTCATTGAAAAGTTGATGAACTTTATGACTAAGAAATTATAATGATAACTAAGCGCTAAACCCACAAGGGTCATACAGCTCTGTATGATTAACAAAAACTGGACGAAATATATATCAGTTTATGTTAAATCTGTAAAAGTCAGTGCTGTGGGTAGGGGTGTGCCAGGGCAGGTATATGAAGAACAGGGGTGTGCCAGGGCAGGTATATGAAGAACAGGGGTGTGCCAGGGCAGGTATATGAAGAGTAGGGGTGTGCCATGGCAGGTATATGAAGAGTAGGGGTGTGCCACAGCAGGTATATGAAGAGTAGGGGTATGCTAAGATTAAATAGTGTGTGTGTGTGTGTGTATGGGGCTGGGGTAGTGGTTAGTGGAGGAGGAGGAGCAGCTAGTGCATGTGTAAACTTGAAATGGTAGTTGGGCAGTAGGTTAGTCTTGTTTAAAAGTCAAGAGAGCCAGCCTGCATCAAAGGTGGAACTTTAAACAAGGTCAGTTACTAAAGAGGTGTTGCTTTCCTGCAGGATGCAAATCTGCTAGGCAATGGAAAACAAGGATATTACATGTCACTGTGCATGGCAAAGGGCAGAGTTCAGTTTGGTCTCTATATGTCTCAGCCATCCACAATTATTACAATCAAAATTAAGTGCTAAACCCACCAGGGTCATACATTTGACTATCCACTACCCATACAGTAAACCCATGAGAGAGAAAACTAATTCCCCCAATGAGCATAAAGTATATGCCATCAGGAGCCAGATTATTATAATCATAACTAAGCACTAAACCCATAAGGGTCATACAGCACTACATCAGGAGCCAAAGACTAGTAGAGTACTTAAAGACCCTGAAATGTATTCCTCCATAAATTTGGCTATGGCAGGGACCTTACCACCACAAATAAAATAGGCGAGTACAAATAAGAAAAGCAACTCTCACGCTCAATAGATGGAGGATCAAGCCTACACCACGGTTGCATTGAATGACCCACATAGGTTTAACGTTTAACATGAATTATATAATCATAAATATATATATACCACCATAGACGAGTAACAGGGATGTCAAGAAGTATTTCTACAGTCTAAGGGTCGTCAGGAAGTGGAATAATATTGTCGAAGAAATGGTGGAGGCAGACTCCATACGTAGCTTTAAGAGTGGGTACGACAGGGCCCCATGAGGCTAGGAAGGCGTGAATTATCTGACAAGCGGCAAGCTGAGACACTGTGCCAGGAGCTAAAGCCCAAGACAAGACCCTTGCAAAACATCAAAGCACCTCCAAGGGGTGACAAACATTACCTTGAGCCTATAAAAATTGAAAGATATTCATGTTTGATCTAAGGGTAAGATAGATCCAAGTCTTTGAATCAAGAACCCTTCACCAGCATCAAGGCACCCCAGTCAACAGTTTAACCTTCTCTCAGAGTCAACAGTGTGAGACTAAAAGACTGAGGTCAGTAGAATATCAAAGCTTTATTCAGCATTTTAACATAATGACTACAGTACAGTACAGCTAATAATAATAAACAAATAATTTAACTAATCAACAGCAGCAGATGACTTCTTGCTCAACTATTCATTTGTATTTTGAACAACAATCAGCATGTACTCCTTGTCTGAAAAAGAAAAAAAAAGTTATACATATCAAATTACATTAATGACTGTATAAATTGGTGGGATATGGCTGGTTTGTTGAAAGATGAAGAACTATATAAATTATATCAAGTGATTTAAGAGTGTGGCAAACAATCAGAAATGAAATCCTCACTTGGTACACCTGTTCTTAGAGGCATTTTTTCAGTACAGTGGACCCCCGCCTAACGATATTATTTCAATCCAGAAGTTTGTTTGGGTGCCGTTATGAACCGATTTTCCCATAAGAAATATTTATTTTAGATTAGTCTGTTTCAGACCCCAAAAATACATTAAAAAGCATTTACAAAAAATACCCTTTCAAAATGTTAGTACGAGTTGGGAATGATCGATTAGCGGGTCCACTGTATTTCTAATGATAATTTACTTTTTTAATACAGTACTGTACTGTACTATATACAGTACTATTATGTATAGTAGTTTGCAATTTTGAAAACACTAGAAAAAATTCTATTCTCAAAATTTAGTAAAACATTGAAAGTGACTAAAATCCCTATACATGGAACCCGTAACGATATTTTTTCATTCCAGAAGTATGTTCAGGTGCCAGTACTGACCGAATTTGTTCCCATAAGGAATATTGTGAAGTAGATTAGTCCATTTCAGACCCACAAACATACACGTACAAACGCACTTACATAAATACACTTACATAATTGGTCGCATTGGGAGGTGATCGTTAAGCAGGGGTCCACTGTACATTCTATTAAAACCACTTAACAGAAGCAGCATTAAATAACACTGCACAGAATTATCAGCAGTCAGAATGCTACTACGTATTAACTAAAGGCCTACAGCATCAAAGGCACTCTGCACTTACCAGGAGCTATCATTATTTCATGCTTTTTAGACCGAACTCTGAGGAATGTGAGGTCATTTGTCGGATCCAAGTCCCGAACGACACTGCGAGCCTTGTCAGTCAAACCACTAATGAGTCCAGTATACTGAATGGTTGTAGGATTATCTAATGTACTCTTAATGGGAATACCTGAAATTAAAAATATATGTTGTACTTTTTATAGAACTCAACTTTATTTTTCTAACTACAGCACAGTGCCCTTAAAATTATTTTTTTAGATCAAAACACATATAGCATGCACTAAGTACCATATATGAATTACTGAATACTAACATACATTTGAAATGATCATTTAGAAACAGGACCTAGAAATAAATATTCTATAACAGTTAAAGCAAAGCAAGAGAATGCAGTAGGTACATAAAATCCCCAATTTATAAATGCCCCACATTACACATATCTGCACTTCTAAATGTCACACTTAGGAATAAATTATAATTTAACAACTGCCATGATGCAATACAAACTTATGTAAAATATGAGAGCCTTTATGCTATTTTATTCTACAAAAAATAACTCACCTGTAAGTTGAAAATTAAAAACACAACCCATTTGTAAGTTGGAGATCTGCTTGAGTTTACTAGCACAGCCAACATAAATGTACAGTACATTATATCCTGGGTTCAAGTGTTTAACATTTGCATTAGCATACAGACACTAATGCATACTCTATGTTAACCTAGTTATGGGTTTAGCATAGAAGCAAGCAAAATAAACCTGGTGCTGTTATTCCTCCACCGCCAAAAGAGGCACAAATACAGTGGTACCTCAGGATACAAACAGCTCAAAATTCGAACAATTTATGTAACTGTATTTATGTAAGTGCTTTTGTAAGCGTATTTTTGGGGGTCTGAAACGGATTAATCGAATTTACAGTATTCCTTATGGGAACAAATTTGTTCAGTATCTGCACTCGAACAGCCTTCTGGAACGAAATAAATTTGTATCCCGAGGTACCAGTGTATTTAGTTTCAGAATAAAATATATCTAACCATTTCACAGGTGTCTTACTTATTAGCTTGTCAGTATTGAATGTCATATGCAGAGCATTTCAAGCAAACTTAACATTATTAGCCAATTTTCTAATTAGCCCATAAACGGTCCAAACGTATATATACGTTCACTACCGTACTGCCCCAAAAAAACATTGTTGTTTTTTAATAGGAAAAAAGAGCATATGGTACCCAGGCATCCCCAGTTATTTTAATATGGTGCACAGTGAGTGCTCACACCCATTCTCACATGTCTAGGCGACTCAGGCTTATCGTGGCAATGTTAAATGTAGGACACATAAAACGTATATATACGTTTGGGGCACTAGCAGTAAAAACAGATGTATACGTTTGGACCATTTACGGGTTAACCAACTCTGGGAGGTGTTTAATCTTAACCTACTCCAATTAAATTTTAATTTTACATATAAAATTTAGCCATCTTTGCAGTACAGCAGACACTAGGCAACAACAGCAAGCTGTAGTCTAAAGAGGCATGTACATACATTTATGGTGACCAGAATACAAACCTCTACCAATGATCATAATAATAAAGTAGGTGCACAAAACCGTTATATAACTTACCCTCGGCATTAACAACTATAACCCCAACAACCCCCTTGTGGGACTGGATTCTTTTCAGTGTTTCTTCCACTTCGGCAGACTGTAAAATAAAAATAGTATACTTTATTAAGGGGAATTGTTTTTCTTTATTTCATCATTAATAATAATAATAATACGTATTATTATTATTATTCTATTCATGGGGAAATGCTGAACACTAAGGGGGACATACAATATCTGAGAAATTTGAAGCAATCAAATCTGATCCAAAGGGAAAAGTAGCTCCAATTCCTTGGATCAGGAGCCCTCCACCAGAACTGTTACCCTCTTATCCAATTTAAAATTTATTTCTTAGAGACAAAGGTTTTTAACATGCCCATGATGGACTGAGCATTGTGACGATTATACTGTGACAATTACTTATGACTAAAATGATGGGAGCAAGTAACCCCTTCTCCTGTATCATTACTAAATTTTTCTTTTTAGGCCACCCTTCCTCAGTGGGATGCAGCCGGTTCATTAAGAAAAAAATTACTTATGCACCAAAAGTAAAATTCAGTTTAAAACTGGTAACCTTAGGGTTTTCTCAATTATTTTTTTATGCATCACAAACAATCAACCAAGAACCAGGGTTCAATCCTGGGCTAGTTGAGATGTACTACTAAGTTACGATATGTTGGGTACATCTCCCTACACTTATTTTATCAAATTTTTCTTAGTTTTGTAATATAGTATTACATATCTTTGAGAAATTCATTTTTCTTCTTAGGTCACCCTGCCTCAGTGGGATACGGCCGGTTCGTTGAAAAAAAAAAAAATTACATATCTTTAAAAATTTATTAGGCACTTTGACTTTAAAGTAATGAATTTTTTAGTCAAAATATTTTAATTTTAGTGGTGAGCAGGAAATAGTCCGAAAATTTGTAAATTATCAGCAGTTAAAAAAAAAAAAAGTGTGGTTTAAGTAACGGTAAGCAGGTGCTCAGGCATTAATCAATTACTGTGGGTCACATTCTGGGAAAAAGAATCAAAGGACCTCAAAGAAAACATGCCAAATTATTGGCTCTCCTGATCTATAATGGAATTAAAGGGAATGATAATTCCAAACCAGTCTTGTAGCAACCTTTGTAGAATAAAACAGGAGGTAAGAGCATCCTGAACGATAACATATCTTGTCTTGCTTTAAGCAAATGGAGGATCCAGCTTCCACTACTCCAGGCTCTGGATGACCCATGCAGGTTAAGTGCTTCATGTAAATTAAAAAAAATCAGCAAGAAAGTTCATCAAAATTATGATAAAAATGCAAGTAATTTATCATTGTAAGGAAGAAATCGTTTAATTCTGCCTTGTACAGAATTTTATAGTTTTACAGTAGTTTTTATATTGTAAATTATGTAGAATGAACTAAAGATAACCCAACGAAGTCAATGTGATTTTCTTTTGCTCGTGTCTTTGTTTTATGTATTGTACGTAGTTATATTTATATGTACATAGACAAATACATAAGTAAGAAAGTAAGTTTATTTAGATACAGATACACAAAAGTACAATTATCATACATAATAATTTGTGTAAATTACCTAGGATAACCCAAGATTATTATTACAATCATAACTAAGTACTTAACTCACTAGGGTCAGAATAACCCCAAAAAAGTCAGGCAAAGTGACATATTTCCGTGCCTATGTGTAAGTCTATATTTAAGTTTTGTATATTGGAATACAAATATTTTTTTATCATGGTATTGACATCTCAAGGGAGGTGCCTTGATTCTGGTGAGGGCTCTTGATCCACGGAACTGGATTAAACCTCCTCTTCCTTGGATTGAACCTTAATGCCTCCAATTCCCCAGGTGCTGCTCTATAACCCCTCCAGGTTTATTACTTCGCTTTGAATAAAATGAAAAAACTAAGGTCTTTAGGGACCATAAATGCTATGGACACTAAAAAAATCCATTATGTAGAGTTAGGCTAGGATAACCACCTAAGATAGATATCTGGAGAGTTTATCTGGAGAGAGTACGGGGGGTCAACGCCCCCGCGGCCCGGTCTGTGACCAGGCCTCCTTAGGTCAGTGTCCCAGGATGCGACCCACACCAGTCGACTAACACCCAGGTACCCATTTTACTGATGGGGAACATAGACAACAGGTGGAAAGAAACACGTCCAATGTTTCTACTCTGGCTGGGAATCGAACCCAGGCCCTCATCGTGTGAAGCGAGAGCATTAACCACCAGGCCATATGATTTGCAAAATAACCACAAGGGGAGATGAATGACAGCTCTAGGCCTTTCATGTTGCAATCAACACATCATCAAGAGCTTGCAATTTAGCAGAAATGAGTAAAATATCTCAGTAGATTTCGTGCGTCCCTCGGAACGAAATCTGCTGAGATCACTTACTCATTTCTGCAACACTGCAAGCTCCTGATGATGTGTTGATTGCAACAAGACCTAGAGCTACCATTCAACTCCCCCTGAGGTTATTTTACATCTTGTATCGCTTGTTCAAGATTCTTACATTATTATTATTATAATCAAGGGGGAAGCGCTAAACCCAGAGGATTATACAGCGCCTGGGGGGGGATGTGGAAGGCATTCAGGTTTAATTCAGGGAACTGGAGCACAGATCCAATTCCCTAAATCAAGAGCCCCTCACCAACATCAAGGAACCTTCCTTGAGGGGGAAAAAGATTCTTACAAATAATGACGTCCCTCATGTTAAGGGAATCACATCTACGTAAGAACCAACACATCAAAGGTCCACATGCACCAGTATTAAACATAAACACACTAATAATCTCCAACAAAATGGCACAATATAACAATTTTGGAGTCAAAAAATGCCAGAAATATTACAAAATAAGAGAGAGACCAACCATAGTGTTTACGTCTAGCAGCTGACACGCCTCTGACTCAGTCAGAACCAGGACACATTAATTAAACTCAGTAAGTTGATCATCATTTTTCTCTGTTACACAAACATAGCATATGATGAACACTTATTAATATTACGTTATTTAAAATTTGTTATCTTGCTTTAATATATATTAGTTAATGTTCGTTATATTTTATATTTGTATATAATAATAAGATTATAGTCAGAGTTGTACACGACAGTTAGTCACCAAGGCAACAAAAGTAATGTTTCTCATTTTACTTATATATTATAACTCAACCGTAACTATAATTAAATTTATAATTTATACATAGCTTACTTAATTATTTTAACTTCTATTTTATCGTTTACTTACTTATAAATCTACTACATAAGTCACGAATGATAAAATAATCATTCTTGCTTCTGAGAGAAACATTACTATGACTGCCGCAACGTGACTGACTTATGGAGGAGTCAGTCCATGGTATCAGTCGTAAGTCACGTTGGTTGTTAGCTCTGGGTCCTCCTGAGTCACTTAGGCTTTTAGGTTAAGTAATTTATTTATTTAGGCACAGGTACGCATAAGTACAATTATCCTACGTGGTGTAAGTCGCCTGGGATAACCCAAAATAAAGGCGAAGTTTGTCAGGAAACGACGTTTCCTGAGCTGGAGCTTTTGGTCACCTGACCGAGGCCTTCCGGCGGTTCTGAACCACTCTAGGGATCTTAAATTTGGGTCTTGAGTCACCCAGGGTCTTAAGTTTGGGTTCTTAATCATCCTAGGCTCTTAGATTTTGGTTCTGAACCACCCAGGCTGTCAGGTATGGGTTCTGAACCACCCAGGCTGTCAGGTATGGGTTCTGAACCACCCAGGCTGTCAGATATGGGTTCTGAACCACCCAGGCTGTCAGGTATGGGTTCTGAACCACCCAGGCTGTCAGGTATGGGTTCTGAACCACCCAGGCTGTCAGGTATGGGTTCTGAACCACCCAGGCTGTCAGATATGGGTTCTGAACCACCCAGGCTGTCAGGTATGGGTTCTGAACCACCCAGGCTGTCAGGTATGGGTTTCTGAACCACCCCAGGCTGTCAGGTATGGGTTTCTGAACCACCCAGGCTGTCAGGTATGGGTTCTGAACCACCCAGGCTGTCAGGTATGGGTTCTGAACCACCCAGGCTGTCAGCTATGGGTTCTGAACCACCCAGGCTGTCAGCTATGGGTTCTGAACCACCCAGGCTGTCAGCTATGGGTTCTGAACCACCCAGGCTGTCAGGTATGGGTTCTGAACCACCCAGCTGTACAACCCTTGCGGTTTAGCGTTTTTTTTATTTGAAGCACCAAGGCTGTCAGGTATGGGTTCTGAACCACCCAGGCTGTCAGGTATGGGTTTTGAACCACCCAGGCTGTCAGGTATGGTTTCTGAACCACCCAGGCTGTCAGTATGGGTTCTGAACCACCCAGGCTGTCAGGTATGGGTTCTGAACCACCCAGGCTGTCAGGTATGGTTTCTGAACCACCCAGGCTGTCAGGTATGGGTTCTGAACCACCCAGGCTGTCAGGTATGGGTTCTGAACCACCCAGGCTGTCAGGTATGGGTTCTGAACCACCCAGACTGTCAGGTATGGGTTCTGAACCACCTAGGCTGTCAGGTATGGGTTCTGAACCACCCAGGCTGTCAGGTATGGGTTCTGAACCACCCAGGCTGTCAGGTATGGGTTTCTGAACCACCCAGGCTGTCAGGTATGGGTTTCTGAACCACCCAGGCTGTCAGGTAAGGTTCTGAACCACCCAGGCTGTCAGGTATGGGTTCTGAACCACCCAGGCTGTCAGGTAAGGGTTCTGAACCACCCAGGCTGTCAGGTATGGGTTCTGAACCACCCAGGCTGTCAAGTATGGGTTCTGAACCACTCAGGCTGTCAGGTAAGGGTTCTGAACCACCCAGGCTGTCAGGTATGGGTTCTGAACCACCCAGGCTGTCAGGTATGGGTTCTGAACCACCCAGGCTGTCAGGTATGGGTTCTGAACCACCCAGGCTGTCAGGTAAGGGTTCTGAACCACCCAGGCTGTCAGGTATGGGTTCTGAACCACCCAGGCTGTCAGGTAAGGGTTCTGAACCACCCAGGCTGTCAGGTATGGGTTCTGAACCACCCAGGCTGTCAGGTATGGGTTCTGAACCACCCAGGCTGTCAGGTAAGGGTTCTGAACCACCCAGGCTGTCAGGTATGGGTTCTGAACCACCCAGGCTGTCAGGTATGGGTTCTGAACCACCCAGGCTGTCAGGTATGGGTTCTGAACCACCCAGGCTGTCAGGGATGGGTTCTGAACTACCCAGGCTGTCAAATTTGAGTTCTGAACCACCCAGGCTGTCAGATTTGGGTTCTGAACCACCCAGGCTGTCAGGTTTGGGTTCTGAACCACCCAGGCTGTCAGGTTTGGGTTCTGAACCACCCAGGCTGTCAGGTTTGGGTTCTGAATCACCCAGGCTGTCAGGTTTGGGTTCTGAACCATCCAGGCTGTCATATTTGGGTTCTGAACCACCCAGGCTGTCAGGTTTGCGTTCTGAACCACCCAGGCTGTCAGATTTGCGTTCTGAACCACCCAGGCTGTCAGGTTTGGGTTCTGAACCACCCAGGCTGTCAGGTTTGCGTTCTGAACCACCCATGCTGTCAGATTTGGGTTATGAACAACCCAGGCTGTCAGGTTTGGGTTCTGAATCACCCAGGCTGTCATATTTGGGTTCTGAACCACCCAGGCTGTCATATTTGGGTTCTGAACCACCCAGGCTGTCATATTTGGGTTCTGAACCACCCAGGCTGTCATATTTGGGTTCTGAACCACCCAGGCTGTCAGGTTTGCGTTCTGAACCACCCAGGCTGTCAGATTTGGTTTCTGAACCACCCAGGCTGTCATATTTGGGTTCTGAACCACCCAGACTGTCAGGTTTGCGTTCTGAACCACCCAGGCTGTCAGATTTGGTTTCTGAACCACCCAGGCTGTCAGATTTTGTTTCTGAACCACCCAGGCTGTCATGTTTGGGTTCTGAACCACCCAGGCTGTCACATTTGGGTTCTGAATCACCCAGGCTGTCATATTTGGGTTCTGAACCACCCAGGCTGTCACATTTGGGTTCTGAACCACCCAGGCTGTCAGGTTTGGGTACTGAACCACCCAGGCTGTCAGGGTAGTGTCTACAATAGGGCCCATCATGACAGTTGAGAGCCTCACAACATCAAACCTTAGACACCAGATATACAGCCCGGACGTCTATTGCACCAACTCCTGCTACTCCCTATGTGTTCTGGAAATAAGTGACTTTCTTGGGTTATCCTAGGTAATTTACACTATGTATGATAATTATAGTTATGT